AGTTCAGCAGCTCAGTGCTTTAACCCACTGCACCACTGTGTGCTCATTTACATTTGCCTTTTTATTGTTTTTAAATCCCTGAATTGCATAATGCCCTAAAAATGAAAATTAAAAAATCACCAAATGGCAAATCGGTGCCATTGCACTACTGGAGAGAAGTGCGAGATTGAAGGTGCTCAACATGGCATGTAGGGGACATTGGCACAAATGCCCAATATGCCCAAATTTGAATATTGGTGGCGTTGGGGGAGGATTGATTTTTGTCATTTGGGAGTTATAGTTGTTGGGATTTATAGTTCACCTACAATCAACTCTGAACTCCAATAATGATAGAATTGAACCAAACTTGGTACACAGAATTGCCATGACCAACAGAAAATACTGGAAAGGTTTTGTGGGCATTGACCTTGAGTTTTGGAGTTGTAGTTCGCCTACATCCAGAGAGCACTGTGGACTCAAACAACGATGGGTCTGAACCAAACTTGGCTTGAATACTCAATATGCCCAAATGTGAACACTAGTGAAGTTTGGGGAAAATAGACCTTGACATTTGAGAGTTGTAGTTACTGGGATTTATAATTTACCTACAATCAAAGAGCATTCTGAACTCCACCAACAATAGAATTGGGCTAAATTTCCCATACAGAACCCTCATGACCATCAGAAAATACAGTGTCTTCTGATGGTCTTTGGCGACCCCTCTGACACCCTCTAATGACCCCCCCCAGGAGTCCTGACCCCCAAGTTGAGAAACGATGCCCAAGTTGAGAAACGATGCACGAGGGCCTTGAGATCGTCTGGGGAGGCCCTTCTCTCGATCCCGCCTGCCTCACAGGCACGTCTGGTGGGAACGAGAGAGAGGGCCTTCTCGGTGGTGGCCCCCTGGCTGTGGAACACCCTCCCTGTTGACATCAGACAGGCGCCCTCCCTTATGGCTTTCCGTAAAAGCCTAAAGACCTGGCTATTTGAGAAGGCATTTAACTGAGTGCTACATTGACTGGTAAGGACAACTGGAACGGTATACGGATTACGAGATTGGTTATGATTCTATGTTGTGACGATGCGGATTAGCTAGTGTAATTTAGATTAGTGTGTATTATTGATATGTTGATTTCTTGTTGTGCCTTATTGTAAACTGTTTTTATATGTTGTACACCGCCGCGAGTCGCCCTAGGGCTGAGAGCGGCGGTCAACAAATGCAGCAAATAAATAAATAAATAAATAAGTGATGTTTCTCCAACCTTCATTCCCCCCCCCCCCAACATGGGGCTCCTCCAAATGGGTCAAATGCATGGGAAAATTGCAATAGTTGATGCTGAAGGTCTTGAGAGTTTCTTAAAATATGCAAACAACGTTTCTTGGCAATTTTCATCACCAGCTGCAAGATTTTAGTCTCACCCTTGAGTGGATTTCTTTTTTTAATGCTGAAACATATCAGAACAATATGTTCTCTTCTCCTCATTTAATTTTATAGTGCTGCAGTGTATCAGTGAAGTGGCAATTTGGTCCTATAAATCTTCAATTCAAAAATATCTTTTTAAAAGGCAGAGAAGAGAAAATGTGTCCTTCAAACCGTAGTACTTCCTCAACAAACCATACTCCAGTTTTGTTTTGTTCTTTAAATAACTTGGGAAGAAAACTACCACCATCGCCCCACCTTCCAAGCAAATCTAAGAAATCATTACAGTAAGCCACAAAATGAATGATACAAGCAGGTATCTAGGCAACAAAAACAAGGAAACCCAATAAGCCATATGGAGAGACATTATGTTTTCTTTACCTGGAAGAGCCCATAGTTGACTTTGATCATTCTGGTTCTTCCTTGCCATACTATCTCTTGTGCTTGTGTGCCTTCAAGTTGTTTCCAACTTAAAGCAACCCTAAGATCATATCAAGGGGTTTCCATAGCTGAGTGGAATCCTGGGCTCCAAAGTTATAGTCCCATGTTCAACTCACTATACCAGGCTGGCTCTACAGAACTATTATTGAGTTTGGTGACACTCTGGCTGGATCTACACTGCCAGATAAGGCAGTTTGAATCTGCATTATATAGTCAGCATAGAGTCAAACTGCATAATATGGGCTAATAATAATAATAATAATAATAATAATAATAATAATAATAATAATAATAATAACGGGGTGTCTGCGCCCTACACAACTGGAGAAATTACACTGCTTAGCCGGTATTGCACCACCTGACATCCGCCGGGAAGTAGCAGCCAATAGTGAAAGGACCAAGGCAGAGACATCTCCAGCTCACCCCTTGTTTGGGTATCAGCCAGCACGTCAACAACTTAAATCAAGAAATAGTTTTCTAAGATCTACAGAGACACTCGCTGGAACACCTCAGCAAGCGAGAGTCCAAAAGTGGCAGGCTCAAACCCAGAACCTCAACCAATGGCTGATACCAAATGAGAGACTCCCTCCTGGGCACACAGAGGACTGGACGACTTGGAAGGCGCTGAACAGACTGCGCTCTGGCACCACGAGATGCAGAGCCAACCTCAAGAAATGGGGCCACAAAGTGGAATCCTCGACATGCGAGTGTGGAGAAGAGCAAACCACTGACCACCTGCTGCAATGCAACCTGAGCCCTGCCACATGCACCATGGAGGACCTTCTTGCAGCAACACCAGAGGCACTCCAAGTGGCCAGATACTGGTCAAAGGACATTTAATCCACTACCAAACTCACAAATTTTGTATTTTGACTGTTTGTTTGCTTTGTTCTGTTAGAAATGTAATATAATCGACTGGTTGCCCTGACACAACAAATAAATAAATAACAGCAACAATACAGCTGTTGGATCCTACATTGGGAGGAAATTGGGATATAAATGAAACAACTAAATTTGTGGCCTTATAGCTGCATTTAAGTATGCCTTGCTAAGCAAAAAGGGAGGTGGAAAGGGCGAGGGGTAGTTTGGGTCATGAATCTGCTCTCTTGCTGGAAATGGGAAGAATGTGGGGGAGACTTTGTTCCTTGAGAAGTAATTAGAAAGCATCTCTGAAGCAAAATGGATCGCTGAGTCAGACCTTTCCTCTTCTCCTCCTCTTCTTCTTCCAGGGCCACCAGTAACCACAAAGTCAAGGAGACGGTTGCCTTAGAGCTCAGTTACGTCAACTCTAACCTGCAGCTGCTGAAGGAAGAACTGGAAGAGCTGAACAGCTCCATGGATGTGTATCAGAACGACAGGTAGGACAACAGAGCAAAGAATCATGGAATCCTAATTGGAATAGACCCCCAAAGGCCATCTAGTCCAACCCAATTCTGCCATGCATGAAGGCACAATCCAAGCCCTCCTAACACACCCTGTCCTCTGGGATCTATATGTGTGCTGCAGAAAAATTCTGCCGTTCCAAAGGTCAGCAGTTCAGTCTCGGCTTGGGTGAGCACCCGCTGTTAGCCCCAGCTCACCTAGCAGGTTGAAAGCAGAAATAGAAAAGGTAAAGGTTTTCCCCTGACATTAAGTCCAGTCGTGCCTGACTCTGAGGAGTGGTGCTCATCTCCATTTCTAAGCTGAAGAGCCGGTGTTGTCCATAGACACCTCCAAGGTCATGTGGCTGGCATGACTGCATGGAGCGCCATTACCTTCCTGCTGGAGCGGTACCTATTGATCTACTCACATTTGCATGATTTCAAACTGCTAGGTTGGCAGAAGCTGGGGCTAACAGCGGGAGCTCCGACGTGTGATCCAATACAACAACCAGCATAGTGATCTTGTCTGCTGTGGACTCATCTTGTTGTGTTTCAAATAATAATAATAACAGCAACAACAACAACAACAATATACATCACACAGTCCTAGACACTTGGGAAGTGTCCGTGTGATCCAATACAACAGCCAGCAGAGTGATTTTGTCTGCTGTGGACTCATCTTGTTGTGTATCAAATAATCATCATCATCATCATCATCATCATCATCATCATCACACAATCCTAGACACTTGGGAAGTGTCCAACGTGTGATCCAATACAACAGCCAGCAGAGTGATCTTGTCTGCTGTGGACTCATCTTGTTGTGTTTCTAATAATAATAATAATAATAATAATAATAATAATAATAATACATCACACAGTCCTAGACACTTGGGAAGCATTCGACGTGTGATCCAATACAACAGCCAGCATAGTGATCTTGTCTGCTGTGGACTCATCTTGTTGTGTTTCAAATAATAATAATAATAATAATAACAACAACATACATCACACAGTCCTAGACACTTGGGAAGTGTCCGAAGTGTGATCCAATACAACAGCCAGCAGAGTGATCTTGTCTGCTGTGGACTCATCTTGTTGTGTTTCAATAATAATAATAATAATAATAATAATAATAATAATAATAATAATAATAATAATAATAATAATAATATACATCACACAGTCCTAGACACTTGGGAAGGGTCCGACGTGGGATCCAATACAACAGCCAGCAGAGTGATCTTGTCTACTGTGGACTCATCTTGTTGTGTTTCTAATAATAATAATAATAATAATAATAATAATAATAATAATATACATCACACAGTCCTAGACACTTGGGAAGTGTCCGACGTGTGATCCAATACAACAGCCAGCAGAGTGATCTTGTCTGCTGTGGACTCATCTTGTTGTGTTTAATAATAATAATAATAATAATAATAATAATAATAATAATAATAATAATAACAACAACAACATACATCACACAGTCCTAGACACTTGGGAAGTGTCCGAAGTGTGATCCAATACAACAGCCAGCAGAGTGATCTTGTCTGCTGTGGACTCATCTTGTTGTGTTTCCAATAATAATAATAATAATAATAATAATAATAATAATAATAATAATAATATAATATACATCACACAGTCCTAGACACTTGGGAAGGGTCCGACGTGGGATCCAATACAACAGCCAGCAGAGTGATCTTGTCTACTGTGGACTCATCTTGTTGTGTTAATAATAATAATAATAATAATAATAATAATATAATATACATCACACAGTCCTAGACACTTGGGAAGTGTCCGACGTGTGATCCAATGCAACAGCCAGAAGAGTGATCTTGTCTGCTGTGGACTCATCTTGTTGTGTTTCAAATAATAATAATAATAATAATAATAATAATAATAATAATGGAAATCAGGGAATTCCCTTAAGACCCACTTATTTGTCTTTTTAGCCATCCATTGCACCCTCAAATGAGTCGATCTCTTTCCTATCAGCATCACTCTCCTTCTATTTGCATGGCCCCTGATGCCCACATTGTTTGAGTTTTCGGTCTGTTTACTCTCGCTAAGCTGCTGTCTCGTATTCATTTGCCTTTCAAACGTCGTCCTTTGCTTTGCTCGTAAGCTGGTTCCTTCTTCTTTAAGCTCCATAATTACTTTGAAAAGAATTACTGCCCAGGCCTTATCTCCTTAAGAGCTCATCTTGCCACTGAGCTGGACTCGGTGTGGCCGCCTCTGCAAACCTCTCTTTCTTTCGCTCTTGGTTTTAATCCCTCCTTCGCCGTGTCAGGCTTTTGGGACTCGGAATAATATTTTGGCTGGGTTTATCCCCAGCCACTCCCTTGAGTTCTTCCTCCGCACTTGGCTCAGTCTATAATCTCTGCATTTCTGCAGGATGTAACGTTTGCCACGAGTCCTTTTCCAATATTTTGAATATTCTGCTGTTTACATATTTGTGTTCTGTTTTGCCAAAACAATTCAACAAATAATATTGAGTAATTTACCAACAAAAAAAAAATCAGTTACTGTAGTTTGAAATTCAAAATTGTAATTCCATTTCTCTCTTCCCTCCATTTTTCAGATGCATCTACATCAGGCATGGGCAAATTTTTATTATTATTCTTATATGAGGGTTGAATGAAAAGTTATGCCTCCACCTTCGTTACTTGGGTTTGGATGGGAATATATTGTTGTTGTTCATTCGTTCAGTCGTCTCCACCTCGTGACCTCATGGACCAGCCCACGCCAGAGCTCCCTGTCGGCCGTCACCACCCCCAGCTCCTTCAAGGTCAGTCCAGTCACTTCAAGGATGCCATCCATCCATCTTGCCCTTGGTCGGCCCCTCTTCCTTTTACCTTCCACTTCCCCCAGCATAATTGTCTTCTCTAGGCTTTGCTGTCTCCTCATGATGTGGCCAAAGTACTTCAACTTTGTCTCTAGTATCCTTCCCTCAGTGAGCAGTCGGGCTTTATTTCCTGGAGGATGGACTGGTTGGATCTTCTCGCAGTCCAAGGCACTCTCAGCACTTTCCTCCAACACCACAGCTCAAAAGCATCGATCTTCCTTCGCTCAGCCTTCCCTAAGGTCCAGCTCTCACATCCGTAGGTGACTACAGGGAATACCATGGCTTTGACTAGGCAATGGATCTTTGTTGCCAGTCTGATGTCTCTACTCTTTACTATTTTATCGAGACTGGAGATTGCTCTCCTCCCAAGAAGGAAGCGTCTTCTGATTTCCTGGCCACAGTCTGCATCTGCAGTAAACTTTGCACCTAGAAATACAAACCCTGTCACGGCCTCCACATTTTCTCCATTTTCCAGTTGTCAATCATTCTTGTTGCCATAAATTTGGTTTGTTTATGTTTAGCTGCAACCCGACTTTTGCGCTTTCTTCTTTCACCTTGATTAGAAGGCACCTCAGTTCTAAAGGGAATATATTAGAATCATAGAATCATCGAATCAAAGAGTTGGAAGAGACCTCATGGGCCATCCAGTCCAACCCCATTCTGCCAAGAAGCAGGAATATTGCATTCAAATCACCCCTGACAGATGGCCATCCAGCCTCTGTTTAAAAGCTTCCAAGAAGGAGCCTCCACCACACTCCGGGGCAGAGAGTTCCACTGCTGAACGGCTCTCACAGTCAGGAAGTTCTTCCTCATGTTCAGATGGAATCTCCTCTCTTGTAGTTTGAAGCCATTGTTCCATTGCGTCCTAGTCTCCAAGGAAGCAGAAAACAAGCTTGCTCCCTCCTCCCTGTGGCTTCCTCTCACATATTTATACATGGCTATCATGTCTCCTCTCAGGCTTCTCTTCTTCAGGCTAAACATGCCCAGCTCCTTAAGCCGCTCCTCATAGGGCTTGTTCTCCAGACCCTTGATTGTTCCTCCTCTGGACACATTCGAGCTTGTCAATATCTCTCTTCAATTGTGGTGCCCAGAATTGGACACAATATTCCAGGTGTGGTCTAACCAAAGCAGAACAGAGGGGTAGCATTACTTCCCTAGATCTAGACACTATGCTCCTATTGATGCAGGTCAAAATCCCATTGGCTTTTTTTTTGCCGCCACATCACATTGAGTTTTAATAAATCAAAAGCAGAAATAATCCTTAGAATGTGCTGTTTAATGACCACTATTCGCTTTCCCACATAATCACCAGACAATTGGATACATTTCTGCCAACAATGACCAAGTTTTCTGAAGCCGTCACGGAAGAAGTCAACACTCTGTTTCCGCTACCCATCGTGCACAGATCTTCCGATAGCCAAGCAAAGCAATAATATGACCCACACGTTCTTGTGAAATGCCGATTATGCTTGACATTTCTCTCTGAGTGATACGACGATCATCCTGAATCAATCTGTCAACCTTTTGCTTGTGAAACTCGGTGCTTGCTGTCACAGGACGTCCAACTCTTTGTTTGTCACGCAAGTCAGATGTTCCCACCTCAACAACTTTACTCAACAGCTTACTCGCCCAATGAGGCACAGTACTCACATCAACACAATCACCATAAATAGCTTGCYTTCTCTGATGAATCTCCTTTGGGGTGACGCCTTCTGCTGTCAAGAATTCAATGACTGCACGTTGCTTAAGTCGCATTGACCGACRGTCTGCACAGAGTTCCATACTGCACACTTTAACAACACAATCATTCAATGCTAAGGCTTTGCGCCAAAATGGAACTGTAGAGGAGAGTCTACTAAACAAGCCAGTACCTGCTGCATACCAGTACTGCCATCTGTTGAGGAGTTATGAAGGTGGAGGCATTACTTTTCATTCAACCTTCGTATATATCTGCTTTGAGGAGACTCAYWGCAGCTTGACATAAAAGCATCATCATGCCATTTAAAATCTACCACTTTGCAAACATTAAAACAGGATTAAATATAAACAGGATTAAAGAATTCCCAATTTAAAAACCATGAAAGCATATACAGAGTCAACCAACTCTGACTCCAAAGTTGACTCCGACTTCAGTTCCAAAACTCTGCAACTTTACAGTCCTCGTGCCAAGTACTTGACATCCTAGCATCTTTGGGAGGATGCAATAAAAATTCTGTTAAAGATCTCATTTTGATTTATGTAAAGAGACCACCGGTTTGTAAAAGATGGCACCCAGTTTATAACGGTGCTACCAATTTGTAACGGTTTATAAAGGAGCCACCACTTTGTAAGGACTTATTAAATTGATAACACAACTAATAGTTTGTAATATTGATTTGTGCTTTTTTCAATGTGTAGCGTGGCTTAACTTGAAAGTATTTGAAACAGAGACTTGGCTTTAGAAGAAACTGTAACAAGTATTGACGTATAGAAGAAACTTGATGGTTTCAATGTTTCTCAGCTCTTAGAGGCACATATCTTCAGAGGTTACATTTATAACATTTCATAAACCAACTCTTAAGAGGACTATTCCTTCTATTAAATAGGTTTTAAACTTATTTTCCTTCAAAATGTGTTTTTTCTTTAACAGATTACTTCAAGTACAAGCTTATTCTTTCCTTATGTTATTTCTGTTGCAGTAAAGATTCTTATTAGGATTCTCTCCCCCTTTTGCTCATACACTGACTAATAATATAAATAAGTCAACTTGACCTATCTAAACTACACAGGCTAAAAGCCAAAACCCTCCTGATTCTCAACACAGTAGAATCAGCCTCTCCCTGTAGTTCTTAGACTACAGACTACCTTACTGGTTCTCAACACACAACAGAATCAGCCTTCCCTGTAGTTCACTGACTACAGACTGACGGTTTTAAAATGGCTGCCCTGCCAAGTGGCAGTTGGCTCCGCCCCTTTTTCCATGGCAACTCAGCTCAAAGTGAGTTGAGCTAGCTACCATCCCCCCAATTATGCTAGTTTAAATACTTACCCTTTTAAACACCTATCTATTATTATACATATCTGTAGATTAAAATTCACACTTCACGACAATATATTTCCTTCTTTTTTAGTGATTCTATCAGTGTTCCCATGATCCCTTTGGGGCTGAAGGAGACCAAAGAGTTGGACTGGGAAGCACCCCTGAAGGTAAGCGCTCCACCTTTTATGGATTAGTATCATCCATGTGATTCAAACATTTCTGTCCTTAAGGGGGTGGCAGCTACACTGAGTGTTATGTTTCCATCTTTGTGCTCCTAGGAAATGATTTGGGATCACTACGGTGAAGATGGCGCCTCATACGAGACGGAGATCCAAAGTCTCATGGAGCTGCGGCAGGTATGCCAATTTTGGGGAGTCTTTCATGTAGGTCTGGCATGAGCCAACTTTGGCCCTCCCTCCAGGTGTTTTGGACTTCAACTCCCACAATTCCTAACAGCCGGTGGGAGTTGAAGTCCAAAACACCTGGAGGGACGGTCAAAGTTGGCCCATGCCTGAGATAGATTGTAGTCTACATTGTTTTGGTTTTGTCTCTGATGCTTTGCCTTTCTCCGAACAGGCCATGCGGACTCCCAGCCGGAACGAAGCCGGTCTGGAGCTGCTTATGGAGTATTACAGCCAGCTCTACTTCCTCGACAACCGCTTCTTCCCTCCCAATAAGAACCTGGGCCTCTTCTTCCACTGGTCAGTCAAGGGCCTTGATTGATCCCATCAAGGGAATGAGTCCATTCTTAACTAGTTGCATCTCTCTCTTGACTTTATCGGGTTTGATTACACTTATGTAACAACCCGAGTGTTATTTCCAGTTTAATTGTGCCATCCTTACTTTGAAAGTCGTTATTATCCTCCAGGAACTTTGTTTATGTGCCAGGAACCATGTTGCATTGGTTGAGACTCTAATGCAGTGTTTCTCAACCTGGGGGTCACGAGGGGTGTCAGAGGGGTTGCCAAAGACCATCAGAAAGCACAATATTTTCTGTTGGTCATGGGTGATCTGTGTAGGAAGTTTCACCCAATTTCTTGGAGTTGTTGTAGGTTTTTTCGGGCTATATGGCCATGGTCTAGAGGCCACTTTAGGCTATAAACTACTTTATTTACAGCTATATACATTAGAAGCTACTTAACACTAAGCACATCGAAAAAACTGCTTCCTCTCCATACAGTAGCTACATCGTGAACACCCGAACATGCTGTTATCAGTACTAGTCCACACCTCCTGCATTCCAGAGTGACATATGACGTATGACACACAATATGCGTCCATTGCTCTATACACTTTGATTTATGACCTCTCTAGGAATGCCGTTCCCTCCATGGTACAGTTAACTCTTTCCACACAGGAAATACACATAGCATTGAATTTTTAAACATACATACATACATACTTTGAAATCTACATTACACATTTCAAACAGTTCCAACAGACTTGACATAGCCATCTCTTGAGTCTTTCTTGCCTAAGAAAATCCTACAGATTCCATGGGGTCTACAGGAAACATGAAAGCACAGACGCAAATATGTACATAAGATAAGAAGGTGTTTCTATGCCCAAACTGTGCCTCACTTTCTCCCACCCTCTCTCTTTGAGGTTACAGTGCAAGTCGCTGCCCTTTTAAGCCGGTTTGTTTTTCCCGACCTTCTCTTTTTCCAGGTACGACTCTCTGACGGGTGTCCCGTGCCACCAGCGGGCCCTGGCCTTCGAAAAAGGGAGCGTGCTTTTCAACATCGGAGCCTTGCACACCCAGATCGGGGCTCGGCAGGACCGTACCACCTTGCAAGGCGTGGACCGCGCCATCGAAGCCTTCCAGAAGGCTGCTGGTATGTGCAGCACTCTCTCGGGGTTTCGCTTTGCCGGGAAATTAAATAGCTTCATAGAAATAAATGCAGAACTGAGCCAAGTGTGGACCTCCTCCAACTGCAGCTCCCATTATTCTTCTGCTAACTGCTGCTGATGGGATTTGTCATCCAGGCACATCTGGAGAGCTGCACTTTGCACAAACATGGCATTATTATTATTATTATTATTATTATTATTATTAGCTGTCCCCTGTCACGTGTTGCTGTGGCCCACATGGGGATTCTGTGTGGGAGGTTTGGACTAATTCTATCGTTGGTGGGGTTCAGAATGCTCTGTGATTGTAGGTGAACTATAAATCCCACCAAACCTCGGCCTTCCAGGTGCTTTGGACTTCAACTCCCACAATTCCTAAGAGCCGGTAGGGAGGGCCAATGTTTGCCCATGCCTGGCTTAAACTCATGCCTGTCCATGTTCTCTTTCTCCAGGTGCCTTCAACTACCTGAAGGAGAACTTCTCCAACGCCCCCAGCCTGGACATGAGCACAGCCTCCTTGAACATGCTGGTCCGCCTGATGATCGCCCAGGTCCAGGAGTGCGTCTTGGAGAAGGTCTTGCTCCTCCGTGCCCACAGCGACTTCCTTACCTGCCTGCAACTTGCCCAGGAAGCAGCCAGGGTAAGGGCAAGCGTGCAGACCCTTCGGGGCAGAGATGGAGCTACAAGCTGGGTAGATGCGGGGAATGCCGTGGATGTAGCGTACCTGGATTTCAGGAAGGCCTTCTTTCGACAAGGTCCCCCATGACCTTCTGGCAAGGAAACTAGTCCAATGTGGGCTAGGCAAAACTACGGTGAGGTGGATCTGTAATTGGTTAAGTGGACGAACACAGAGGGTGCTCACTAATGCTTCCTCTTCATCTTGGAAAGAAGTGACAGTGTGCCGCAGGGTTCCGTCCTGGGCCCGGTCCTGTTCAACATCTTTATTAATGACTTAGATGAAGGGCTAGAAGGCAGGATCATCAAGTTTGCAGACGACACCAAATTGGGGGGGATAGCCAATAGTCCAGAGGACAGGAGCAGAATTCAAAACGATCTTGACAGATTAGAGAGATGGGCCAAAACTAACAAAATGAAGTTCAACAGTGACAAATGCAAGATACTCCACTTTGGCAGAAAAAAATGAAATGCAAAGATACAGAATGGGACACCTGGCTCGAGAGCAGTACGTGTGAAAAAGATCTTGGAGTCCTCGTGGACAACAAGTTAAACATGAGCCAACAATGTGATGTGGCGGCAAAAAAAGCCAATGGGATTTTGCCCTGCATCAATAGGAGCATAGTGTCTAGATCTAAGGAATTATTATTATTATTATTATTATTATTATTATTATTAACTTTATTTGTAACCCGCTAGCATCTCCCGAAGGACTCGATGCGGCTTACACAGGCCGAAGCCTCAGAACACAATACAGTAGAACATAACAATAAACAAAGCAAATCAAAAAATTAAGCAAAATAACAGCAACAGTGACAATACATCAAGACACTTTAAAACAGGGCCGGCCGGCGCAGTGGGGTACAGGGTTAAAAGTGCTGAAATGGCAGGAGGAACGTAGGATTAAATAGTGCGGTGTGCAGTAATATATTGTACTAAAGTGCTTCTAGGACTTGGGATGGGGGATTCCTAATCTGAGAAGGCACATCAGAAAGGAAGTAATGCTACCCCTCTATTCTGCTTTGGTTAGACCACATCTGGAATATTGTGTCCAATTCTGGGCACCACAATTCAAGAGAGATATTGACAAGCTGGAATGTGTCCAGAGGAGGGCGACTAAAATTATCAAGGGTTTGGAGAACAAGCCCTATGAGGAGCGGCTTAAGGAGCTGGGCATGTTTAGCCTGAAGAAGAGAAGGCTGAGAGCAGATATGATAGCCATGTATAAATATGTGAGAGGAAGCCACAGGGAGGAGGGAGCAAGCTTGTTTTCTGCTTCCTTGGAGACTAGGACGCGGAATAATGGCTTCAAACTACAAGAGAGGAGATTCCATCTGAACATGAGGAAGAACTTCCTGACTGTGAGAGCCGTTCAGAAGTGGAACTCTCTGCCCCGGAGTGTGGTGGAGGCTCCTTCTTTGGAAGCTTTTAAACAGAGGCTGGATGGCCATCTGTCAGGGGTGATTTGAATGCAATATTCCTGCTTCTTGGCAGAAAGGGGTTGGACTGGATGGCCCATGAGGTCTCTTCCAACTCTTTGATTCTATGATTCTATGAAAGACCCTGACGTGTGAGGAGGATACAGGTTGAGCATCTCTTATACAGAATTCATAGAACAATAGAGTTGGAGGAGACCCCAGGGGCCAACTAGTCCAACCCCCTTCTGCCCTGCAGGAAAAGCACAATCAAAGTACCCCCGACAGATGGACATCCAGTTTCTGTTTAAAAACCACACCACTAGCATCTCACTCTATCCCTGAAACCCTAGTTTTCTACACTCTGTTGCACTCCGGGCCAAGAATGCCCTCTGACTTTAAACACCACATAGCTGAGTAAAAATGCAAGCAGTTTATTGAAGATATTTTAAAAGCAGTAGCAGTAAAAAAAAACTCCATAAAAATAGGTAATCCAATTAGGTAGAAAGATAAGCAGGAACAAATAGTCCAGGAAATTAGTCCATCAGAGTTCATGAAAACAGATACTGAAACTTCCAAGGTAAAACCCCAACACTTGAACATGAATCAAACAAGGCACTTAGCACAGGAATCTATCCAAGGAATCTATCTATCCCTTCTTCAGGCTAAACATGCACAGCTCTTTAAGCCGCTCCTCATAGGGCTTATTCACCAGACCCTTGATCATTTTGAGTCGCTCTCCTCTGGACACGTCCCAGCTTGTCAACACCTCTCTTCAATTATCTCAACCTCTCAAAGCCAGGACTGCAAAATTAAACAGGAAATAACACTTTCAAACCAGGAACAGATTTTTTTTTTCAATTTTGTTAGTGTAATTGGCATATAAATCTTGCTTATTACCATTTATTACAATTAAAGTACAATACATCACATTAAATATCAGGCACGATACTAAAATCCAGATTAGATCAGATTAGAGCAATCAACTGCAGAAGCGGTGATAGGTTTTGCCTGGATGTTCATTGTTGCCGAGGGCGAAAAGACAAAACTTTCTAAATCAGTGTTTCTCAACCTGGGGGTCGGGACCCCTGTGGGGGTCGCAAGGGGGTGTCAGAGGGGTCACCAAAGACCATCAGAAAACATAGTATTATCTGTTGGTCATGGGGGTTCTGTGTGGAAAGTTTGGTCCAATTCTATCGGTGGGTTCAGAATGCTATTTCATTGTGGGTGAACTATAAATCCCAACAACTACAACTCCTTATTGGCAAGGTCTATTTTCTCCAAACTCTACCAAGGTTCACATTTGGTCATATTGAGTATTTGTTCCAAGTTTGATCCAGATCCATCATTGCTCGAGTCCACAGTGTTCTCTGGATGTAGGTGAACTACAACTCCAAAAACTCAAGGTCAATGTCCACCAGACCTTCCCAGTATTTTCTCTTGGTCATGGGAATTCTGTGTGCCAAGTTTGATTCAATTTCATCACTGGTGGAGTTCAAAAGGCTCTTTGATTGTAGGTGAACTATAAATCCCAGCAACTCCAGCATTACGAAATGACAAAATCAATCACCCCTAACCCCACCAGTATTCAAATTTGGGCGTATCAGGTATTTGTGCCAAATTTGGTCCAGTGAATGAGAATACATCCTGCATATCGGACGTTTACATTACGATTCATAACAGTAGCAAAATGACAGTTATGAAGTAGCAATGAAAATAACGTTATGGTTAGGGGTCACCACCACATGAGGACCTGTACTAAGGGGTCGCGGCATTAGGAAGGTTGAGAACCACTGAATGAATGTTCATTGCTACAGAGAGCAAAAAGAGAAAACTTGCAACTTGTCCTAGAATTGGATGCTGCACAGGAGCTTGAAAATAGAATAGATCCCCCAAAATTTGGTTCTTGGTTCTGAATATAATGTGCCAAAGAGCAAAAATTGTTGCAAATCCTCAATTTCTGGGATTGCACACATTCAGAAATGGAGGGCCAGAGGAGTAAGAATATCTGCTATTGATCATCATTATAGGTTAGATTTCTGATCGAAACGTTGACTTCTTTCCACCTTCTAATATCCCATGTTACTTGTATGTTTGCAAATTTCCCTTTACTCCAAATATGTTTTCATTTCGAAGGAGGAGACCTGACTCCCAGGATAATTCCCAGGATATTGGATTGTTTTTGCTCCAAAGTTGCTTGCTAATTACTTCTCAAGGCTGAGGATCCCCCGCATATTTCTTCCCAGTCCTAACGAGATGGCAGATTAATGACCTGCACTCCCCTGGTTGCTTTCTTCTCCCTTTCACAACTTTTTTTTTGCTTTGAGCAGCAACACCGCTTACTTTATTTACTTTATATCCCTGCTTCCTGCCAACACAAAGGTGCCTTTCCAACACACACACATACATGCAATGAGCCTTTGGTATCTGCTGGGGTTTTGTTCTACAATGCAGACATTGTGGATACCAACATCTGTGGATGCTCAGAAGTATTTATTTATCGTGCCATCAGCAACCAGACATTTGTATTACATTTTTAACAAAAACAAACAAACAAACAAACAAAATACAGAATTTGCAAGCTTGGTAGGTGATTAAATGTCCTTTGACCAGTATCTGGCCACTTGGAGTGCCTCTGGTGTTGCTGCAAGAAGGTCCTCCATTGTGCATGTGGCAGGGCTCAGGTTGCATTGCAGCAGGTGGTCAGTGGTTTGCTCTTCTCCACACTCGCATGTCATGGACTCCACTTTGCGGCCCCATTTCTGAAGGTTGGCTCTGCATCGCGTGGTGCCAGAGTGCAGTCTGTTCAGCACCTTCCAAGTTGCCCAGTTTTCTGTGTGCCCAGGGGGAGTCTCTCATTTGGTATCAGCCATTGGTTGAGGTGCTGGGTTTGAGCCTGCCACTTTTGGACTCTTGCTTGCTGGGGTGTTCCAGCAAGTGTCTCTGTAGATCTTAGAAAACTATGTCTGGATTTAAGTCGTTGACGTGCTGGCTGATACCCAAACAAGGGATGAGCTGGAGATGTCTCTGCCTTGGTCCTTTCACTATTGGCTGCTACTTCCCGGCGGATGTCAGGTAGTGCGAAACCGGCTAGATAGTGTAATTTCTCCAGTGGTGTAGGGTGTAGGAACTTATATCACCCCTGGTAGCACGGCGGGTTAAACCACTGAGCTGCTGAACTTGGTGACCGAAAGGTAGCCGGTCCAAATCCGGGGAGTGGGGTGAGCTCCCACTGTCAGCCCCAGCTTCTACCAACCTAGCAGTTTGAAAACATGCAAATGTGAGTAGATCAATAGGTACCGCTTCTTCAGGAAGATAATGGCACTCTATGCAGTCATGCTGGCCACATGACCTTGGAGGTGTCTATGGACAACACCGGCTCTTTGGCTTAGAAATTGAGATGAACACCACCCCATAGAGTCGGACACGAGAGAGATTAAATCATTCCATCTGTCATGTGGATTCCTTTTCCTATTACTTTCCATTGCTGGGAGACATTGTCCAGAAAAGTAACTTTTCCATACTTGGTGTATGCCAACAAACACCCTGATTCTTGAGTTATTGCTGAAGCTAGTGGGTAGTTCCTGGACAATGAAAAGAAAATAGAATTTTTTCCTATTTCCTATCTGCTTCAGTCTCCTCGTTTACAAGGAGTAAGTATTAATGACTTTGTGCGGTGAATCTACACTGTAGAACTAATGCAGTTTGGTGCCACTTTAGCTGCCATGACTCAATACTATGAAACTACGGGAACTGCAGTTTTACAAAGTCTTTCGCTTTCTCTGGCCAAGAGTTCTGGTGCCTCACCAAACTCTGAATCTGACGATTCCATACCTTCATATCATGGGAATCAAAGTGGTGTCAAACTGCATTTATCTGCACCTCTAGACTCATATAATCACTGAGCTGGAGGGACCATCTAGTTCACATTATCATTATTGCCTGTCTTTGTCCCCTTCCAGGTCGAAGAGGTTTACACGCTTGTCCACCAGACGATGACCCAGCCGCACGTGAAGGACTACGTCCCCTTCTCGTGGGCCACCATGGTGCAGGTCAAGTCGGAGCACTTCCAGGCCCTCTCGCACTACTACGCCGCCATTGCACTTTGCGACTGCCCTCGTGAGTAGCCCTGATCTGCCTCTGCCCTTTCTAGGCATTATCTGGGTCCTCCCAATGCAAACTTGTGCTGGAAATTGAGGTATTATTAGAGGTGTGCAAAATGCCAAAGAGCCACTTTGTTTGCATTTACGAAATTCATGCAACATCCTGTTTTGATTCTGAAGTGTTTTGGAATATTAAGGGGTCTGTGTTGTATCTACGAGGGTTGAATGAAAGGTAATGCCTCCACCTTCGTTACTTGGGTGCGGATGGGAATATTTTAATAAATCAAACACAGTAATAATCCTTAGAGTGTTCTCTTTAACTACCACTATTTACTTTTCCACACAATCACCAGACAATTGGATACATTTCTGCCAACGATGAACAAGTTTTCTGAAGCCATCACGGAAGAAGCCTGTGCACTTTCATTTCAGGCATCAGCATCCTGGGTACCCATCGTGCACAGATCTTACGATAGCCAAGCAAAGCAATAATGTGACCCACACATTCTTGTGAAATGGCAATTATGCTTGAAAATTCTCCCTGAGTGATACGACGATCGTCCTGAATCAATCTGTCAACCTTTTGCTTGTGAAACTTGGTGGTTGCTGTCACAGGACTTCCAACTCTTTGTTTGTCACGCAAGTCAGATGTTCCCACCTCAACATCTTTAAACTTACTCACCCAAGGACGCACAGTAATCACATCAACATAATCCCCATAAATCTCCTCTGATGAATCTCTTTGGGGGTGACACCTTCTGCTGTCAAGAATTCAATGACTGCACGTTGCTTAAGTTGCATTGACCGACCATCTGTGCAGGGTACCATACTTTGTTCTTTAACAACACAACCATTCAATGCTAAGGCTTCATGCCAAAATGGAACTGTAGAGGAGAGTCTACTGAACAAGCCAGTACCTGCCGCATACCAGTACAACCATCTGTTGAGTTACGAAGGTGGAGGCATTACTTTTCATTCAACCCTCATAATATGAAGTTCCAAAACTTTTGTTAGTTGGGTTGCTGTAAGTTTTCCAGGCTGTATGGCCATATTCCAGAAACATTCTCTCCTGATATTTTGCCGCATCTACGACAGGCATCCTCAGAAGTAGTTTCTCATTACGTTATTTGTCTATTTGCACCAATGGGGCTTTTCCTTCCTCAGTGTTAAGACGGTCAAGGTGAAACTTGCTCCAATTTTGGCACACATTTGGCCACTGTTATTCCCCCAGGTTTCAAAACGTTTGGCTCACCCACTAATTTTTTGGAAAATTTTGAATTTTTTACAGATAACATTTGAAAAAAAACTACAAGAGCTATCGCCTTGAATGATACTACATAACCAGGATATCACTCTCGCCAAGTGTCTGAAAGTTTTGGATTCCACTGAAATTTGAAGTATCTAAGTAGTCTATGTATTTTAGTGCTTGCAATGGATGATGCTCCCACAAGTACAGATGTACCCGAACTCTCTGCCCAGGCAGTTTCTCCTTTTCCAATCTCTTTTGCCCGTTATATACGCCAAAGCTGGTGCCAAGCCGAGGATTCCAGCTCTGACGTAATAATAATAATAATAATAATAATAATAATAATAATAATAATAGTTGATGTTGCTATCCCAAGTGACAGCAGGATTGAATAGAAAAAACTGGAAAAGCTGACCAGATATGAGGATTTAAAGACTGAACTGCAAAGACTCTGGCACAAGTCAGTCAAGGTGGTCCCAGTGGTGATTGGCACACTGGGTGCAGTGCCTAAAGACCTTGGCCTGCACTTAAACACAATCGGTGCTGACAAGATTACCATCTGCCAGCTGCAAAAGGCCACCTTACTGGGATCTGCGCACATCATTCACTGATATGTCACACAGCCCTAGACACTTGGGAAGTGTCCGACGTGTGATCCAATACAACAGCCAGCAGATTGTCTGCTGTGGACTCATCTTGTTGTGTTTCAAATAATAATAATAATAATAATAATCATCATCATCATCATATCTATATAAATAAAAATGTAATGTTCGTTTGTGGGATTAACAGAACTCAAAAACCACTGGACGAATTGACACCAAATTTGGATACAAGACACCCAACAACCCAATGTATGTCCTTCACTAAAAAAAATGATTTTGTCATTTGGGAGTTGTAGTTGCTGGGATTTATAGTTCACCTACAATCAAAGAACATTCTGAACCCCACCAATTGAACAAAACTTGGCACAGAGTTCTCCCATGACCAACAGAAAATACTGGAAGGGTTTGGTGGGCATTGACCTTGAGTTTGGGAGTTGTAGTTCACCTACATCCAGAGAGCACTGTGGACTCAAACAATGATGGATCTGGACCAAATTTGGCACGAATACTCAATATGCCAATATGTGAACACTGGTGGAGTTTGGGGAAAATAGAATCTTGACATTTGGGAGTTGTAGTTGCTGGGATTTGTAGTTCACAGAGTATTCTGAACCCAACCAACGATAGAATTGGGCCAAACCTCCCACACAGAACCCCCATGACCACCAGAGTGGGCCACAGCAATGCGTGGCAGGGGACGGCTAGTAATAATAATAATAATAATAATAATAATAATAATAATAATAATAAGTATAGAACTGCAAAGACTCCAGCACAAGCCAGTCAAGGTGGTCCCAGTGGTGATCGGCACACTGGGTGCAGTGCCTCAAAACCTTGGCCTGCACTTAAACACAATTGGCGCTGACAAAATCACCACCTGTCAGCTGCAAAATGCCACTCTACTCAGATCCGCACGCATTATTCTCCAATACATCACACATTCCTAGACACTTAGGAAGTGTGTGATGTGTGATCCAATACAAAAGCCAGCAGAGTGATCTTGTTTGCTGTGTACCAATCTTGTTGTGTATCAAATAATAATAATAATAATAATAATAATAATAATAATAATAATAATAATAGGATTTAAAGATCGAACTGCAAAGACTCTGGCACAAGCCAGTCAAGGTGGTGCCAGTGGGGATTGACACACTGGGTGCAGTGCCTCAAGACCTTGGCCTGCACTTAAGCACAATCGGTGCTGACAAAATTACCATCTGCCGACTGCGGAAGGGATCCTGCCAAGATATGCTTTTATGGGAGCATGGAATAAGTTGCCTGGCTTCTCCATCCGTCTGGACGTCTGGCGGCCCGTCTTTAATGGCTCATTATCTCCTCCTGGCCTTAATCCTGCATTTGGTCTTCACCTAAGAAGCTTAGCGTGGCTTTGGCTGGGGACAGATAATGAATCTGTGCAGGACTGAGAGCATCGTTAGGTGCGTCTGCTCTGTAATGCAAGTTGAAATGCCTTGGTTCCATGCAGTGGGATCCTAGGAGTTGTAGTTTGGTGAAGCACCAGCCCCCCTTGGCAGAGAAGACTGATGGCCTTGGAAAACTCCAATCCCCAGGCTTGCATAGCATTAAGCCATGGAAGTTCAAGCGGTGTCAAGCGGTGCTAATTCTACAATATAGATGCACCCTTTATTTATTTATTTACAGTATTTATAGTCCGACCTTCTCACCCCGCAGGGGACTCAGGGCGGATTACAATGCACATATACATGGCAAACATTCAATGCCATTAGACATACCACATATATAGACAGATGCAGAGGCAATTTAACATTCCAGATGTGCCCGAACATTTTCTGGCTTCATGTGGGTATGCTGGATTCTGGCTCAATTCCAGAATCGAGCCGGATTCCTGTCACCGTCCATTGTGACATTGAGGCCTTTGATGGAGTACTTCCTCATTCTTCTGCACGCTGCTGGAAGGTTTTTATGGAGTCGTAAATTAATTAAATTAGCCTCCCCGCATATGCGGTACCTAAATTTCCTTGACCTTGACCCTGGCCCTTGACCGCTCCAGCTGGAGGTCAGCTGTGACCAGCAGTGCTGCAGAATTTGAGGCGGCACAAGTGGAGGGTGAAAAAGAGAAACGTACCAAGAGGAAGGCGCGTCAAGCCAACCCTGGCCAAGACCGCCTTCCACCTGGAAACCAATGCCCTCACTGCGGAAGAAGATGCAGAGCAAGAATAGGGCTCCACAGCCACATACGGACCCACAAGAACACTGGAAGACAATCCTCCTCGGAAAGCGAGGGATCGCCTAAGTAAGTAAATAAGTAACCTAAATTTCCTACTTGACAGAGGCAACTGTCTTTCAGGCTGCATAGGTCGACAGCAAAATAGACGAATGGCCAGAAGCTCACTTCGACCTGGGCTGTCTTCGAACTCATGACCTCTTGGTCAGTAGTGATTTAACCCTAACCCATGAACCAACTCGGGCCCTCCGTTCTTCTGGGGAGGCCCTTCTTTCGCCCCTACCAATTTCACAAGCTCGCCTTAGAATCATAGAATCAAAGAGTTGGAAGAGACCTCATGGGCCATCCAGTCCAACCCCCTGCCAAGAAGCAGGAATATTGCATTCAAAGCACCCCTGACAAATGGCCATCCAGCCTCTGCTTAAAAGCTTCCAAAGAAGGAGCCTCCACCACACTCCGGGGCAGAGAGTTCCTCTGCTGAACGGCTCTCACAGTCAAGAAGTTCTTCCTCATGTTCAGATGTAATCTCCTTTCTTGTAGTTTGAGGCCATTGTTCCGTGTCCTAGTCTCCAGGGAAGCAGAAAACAAGCTTGCTCCCTCCTCCCTGTGGCTTCCTCTCACATATTTATACATGGCTATCATATCTCCTCTCAGCCTTCTCTTCTTCAGGCTAAACATGCCCAGCTCCTTAAGCCGCTCCTCATAGGGCTTGTTCTCTAGACCCTTGATCTCCCTTGTAAGTACAAGGGAGAGAGCTTTTTTCTCTGTGGCCCCCCGACTCTGGAACTCACTATCTGGAGAAATTAGGAAAGCCCCTACCTTAGAAACCTTTAAAAAGGACCTTAAAACCTGGCTGACCGAAAAGTGGCAGGCTCAAACCCAGAACCTCAACCAATGTCTGATACCAAACAAGAGACTCCCCCCTGGGCACACAGAAAACTGGGCAACTTGGAAGGCGCTGAACAGACTACACTCTGGCACCACGAGATGCAGAGCCAACCTCAAGAAATGGTGCTACAAAGTGGAATCCACAACATGTGAGTGTGGAGAAGAGCAAACCACTGACCACCTTCTGCAATGCACCCTGAGCCCTGCCACATGCACAAGGGAGGACCTTCTTGCAGCAACACCAGAGGCACTCCAAGAGGCCAGAGACTGGTCAAAGGACATCTAATCAACCACCAAGCTTGCAAACTTTGTGTTTTCTCTGTTTGTTTGTTTTGTTCTGTTAGAAATGTAATACAATGGTCTGGTTGCCTGACACGATAAATAAATATCTTTTAGAGACTTTTTTTCACCCTCTCATATTGTGTAGTGTATGAAGCTGCTTTACCAAAATTGCACTGTAGGACCTAGAAATGCCCAGAGAAGGGGTCCTATCTTTGGTTTTCCTCCGACCTTCATGGGGATTCATCCAAAGTTGGTGGCTTTCTGTAAGTCAAGTGCCCCGTTCTTCTTTTCCTCCCCAGTCAGCCCTTGCATGGTTTGTTTCTTGCAGCCGCATCTGACGCAGATCTTCCGGAGCTTGAAAAGGCCTTCCTCCAGTTCCACGTCACTCCGCCTGACGGTCCGGCTTCGGCCCTCCTTTTGCAAGATCCGGAAGAAAGAAGGCGGTTGGGTAAGCAACCCTCTCGACATAATTCCTTAGTCCTTGTATAATATTACGTAACACAATGTTTGTTCCTGGGTTATACATGTTATTTCCTAATTTCTTCTATCATAAAAAACTTAGAGAAAGTTTATTAAATTGCAAAAACTTTGTTCTTATGGGAGGGAAGTCCGGCCCGCAGCACATTTTGCTCTAGTTTTTCAATGAATATCTCATTGAGTCTCAACTAATTCAACACAGTTTGTGGCAGCCGCAAAAATGAAGTTTCTGGAGTAGAACAACTACTTTTGGACTAAGTACCGCGCAATGAAACAGGAAATAACACTTTCAAACCAGGAAAATTTCAAACTTTTGTTATATAGTGTAATATAACTTCTGTGTGGTCTTGCATATTTGTATATGTAAGCCACTTCGAGTCCCATTCAGGGGAGATAATGTGGAGTATAAATAAACATCATAATACAGCAACCCAATATAATAATAAAAAAATAGATGTGGCTGTCTGGATGTAGGATACATAGATAGGACTGGGTTGTGGCACAGCTGGTTGGGAGTCAGCTGCATTAAAATCACCACTGATCGGAAGGTCATAAGTTTGAAGCCAGCCCAGGTCGGAGTGAGCTTCTGACAATTTGTCTAGCTTACTGTCGACCTTTGTAGCCCAAAGACAGTTGCATCTGTCAAGTAGGAAATTTAGGTACTGTCGAAGGCTTTCTTGGCTGGAATCACTGGGTTGTTGTAGGTTTTTTCGGGCTATAGGCCATGTTCTAGAGGCATTCTCTCCTGACGTTTCGCCTGCATCTATGGCAAGCATCCTCAGAGGTAGTAATCTCCTTTCTTCTACCTCTGAGGATGCTTGCCATAGATGCAGGCGAAACGTCAGGAGAGAATGCCTCTAGAACATGGCCTATAGCCCGAAAAAACCTACAACAACCTAATTTAGGTACCGCTTATGTGGAGAGGCTAATTTAACTAATTTACAACACCATAGAATTCTCCAGCAGCATGCAAAAAGAATGAGGAAGTACTCAATCAGTGTCACAAGTGGACAGTGAAGCGACAGCTCCTCTGGTGGCTGGACTTCAAAGCATGCCCTCATGAATCTGGAATGTCAAATAGCCTCTGTGTGTCTGTCTATATATGTTGTGTGTCTATGGCAGTGTTTCCCAACCTGGGGGTCGGGACTCCTGGGGGGTCGCCAGGGGGTTTCAGAGGGGTCGTCAAAGACCATCAGAAAATACATATTTCTGATGGTCTTAGGAACCCCTTTGGCAGAGAAGGCTGAAGACCTCTCCACCTTTCCTTCTCTTCCTTTTTGGTATTGGTGAACTACAACTCCCAAAATTCAAAAACACTCCTGCCCAATGCCACCAGTATTCAATGTTGCTCATATAGGTAGTCTGCCAATTTTTGTGAAGATCCATTGTGGGCTGGGTTTGGAGTGCTCTCTGATTGTAGGTTAACTATAAATCCCAGCAACTACAACTTTCAAATGTCATGGTCTATTTCCCCCAAACTCCACCAGTGTTCACATCTAGGCATATTGGTTATTCGTGCCATGTTTGGTCCAGAACTATCATTGCTTGAGTCCACAGTGCTATCTGGATGTAGGTGAACTACAACTCCAAAACTCAAGGTCAATGCCCAACAAACCCTTCCAGTATTTTCTCTTGGTCATGGGAGTTCTGTGGGCCAAGTTTGCTTCAGTTTCATTGTTGGTGGAGTTCAGAATGCTCTTTGATTGTAGATGAACTATAAATCCCAGCAACTACAACTCCCAAATGACAAACTCAGTGCCCCCACCAACCCCACCAGTATTCAGATTTGGGCGTATTGGGTATTTGTGCCAAATTTGGCCCAATGAATGAAAACACATCCTGCATATCTGATATTTACATGACGATTCATAACAGTAGCAAAATCACAGTTAGGAAGTAGCAACAAACATAAAGTTATGGTTGGGGGTCACCAAAACATGAGGAACTGTATTAAGGGGTCGCGGCAGTAGGAAGGTCGAGAACCACTGGTCTATGGCATTGAAAGTTTGCCATGTATATGTGCATTGTGATCCGCCCTGAGTCCCCTGTGGGGTGAGAAGCGTGGAATATAAATACTGTAAATAAATAAATAAAGCATTTTGTGACTTTTTACCCACTCTGTATGTATGTGTATATGTATGTATGTGTGTGTGTGTGTGTGTTTGTAGATACAGATATAGATATATAATAGGAGTTATATTGTTATATTACCTGGGAAATCTGATTATTAGAAAATAAATGCTTAACAGAGAACGGTACAATATGGTTTTGTTAGCCAGGAATCCAGGCATACCCTGTTCCGACTGATGATTGATGGTTTTGCTCTGAGAAGAAGGTCTTTCTTATGTGAGAGGTGAACTTTTCTTCAGTGGTTGAGATTACCTGGATTCCCATGCCATTCTTGATCCCTCTTTGCATTTTTTTGGAAATATCCATCTGTATCGATATTCCAAAATGTACAAATCATCTCACAGAGGTTTTCGGGCAGACTATATTATTCCCAATACATACAAAAACCACTTTCTCACCTGGAAAACAAATAGGAAGCCACAAGTATTATTTTGGTTTTCCAGAATGGTTACATAGAGAGCACCGATATATTGTCTTTGCAGGAAAAGCTCACCTGAAGAAGGCCATCATGCGGCACGAGGAGGCCATGAGGATCCACGGCTTGTGCAAGATCCTGAGGAAGATGGACATCCTCCAGGAGGTGCTCTGCTTTGCCCACAAGCGTTCGCTCAGCAAGTACTCCGAGATCGACCACGAGGAGGACTTCTTCGAGACGCCGGACGCTCCTGACATCCACCGTAAGAGAATCCCCGGCAGACGGCGGCACTTATTTCAGCGGGGAAAAATTCATCAAGCATTGATGGAGCTCTCCAAGGTCCTGGAGCTATTTCAGAATGGACTTCAGCACTTTGGAGAGCTCCACTGGGCAGCCATTCCTATGCACTTGTGGGCTGCAAAAATTCATGGAGCTCTCCAAGGTCCTGAAGCTATTTGGGAATGGACTTCAGCACTTTGGAGAGCTCCACTGGGGCAGCCATTCCTATGCACGTGTGGGTTGGTCTTTTGCAGATCTGATTGCACAACGTAACGTGATTTTCGTTCCTGGGTTGTAAATGTAATTTCCTAATTGTATCTATGATAAAAACGTGGGAAAGGTTTATTAAACTGGCAATACTTTGTCTTTGCGGGAGGGACATCCTGCTATAGTACATTTTGCTCTAGTTTTTCAATAAATATCTCATTGAGTCTCAGCCAATTCAACATAGTTTGTGGCACAAAAAGCAAAGTTTCTGGAGTAGAAAAACCACTTTCACAGTAAGGCACGATTAAACAGGAAATAACACTTTCAAACCAGGAACAGAACTTTTTCAGATTTTGTTACATGGTGTTATTTACATATTTTCATAATCTCTAGGTCCTCTATAGTCACCTTTCCTTGGTCAAGCTAGAAGAGCTCTCTGGGAATCTTGAGGTCCTGCAGTATGATTCCCATGGTCAACTTAATATATAAATAATAAAAAAACAATTAAATTATGTGCGCAATTCAAATTAAAATTTCCATCTCTTTCCCTGACCTCCCCACCTTTCTTTTCTTTCAGCCAAAACGCACCAGAGACCCGAAATCAAATCGCCCAACTTCTCCAAGGTGAAAGTGACAGACATCTTCCACCGGCTGGTATGTATTTTGAGGCTGGATGTTTGTGGAAATAGGAGTTTGGGTGGATATATGATAATAGACCTGAAAGATGCTTGCAGATCCTTGTATTTAGTGTGATGCAAAGTCTTTGAGCTCCCGGTGGTGCAGCAAGTTAAACCGCTGAGCTGCTGAACTTGCTGACAAAAAGATCACCGGTTCAGATCCGGGAGGCGGGGTGAGCTCCCGCTGTTAGCCCCAGCTTCTCCCAACCTAGCAGTTTGAAAACATGCAAATGTGAGTAGATCAATAGGTACCGCTCCGGCAGGAAGGTAACGGTGCTCCATGCAGTCATGCTGGCCACATGACCTTGGAGGTGTCTATGGACAACTAAGCTCTTTGGCTTAGTAATGGATATGCGCACCAACCTCCAGAGTCAGACACGACAGGGGAAAATCTTTACCTTTACTATTTCTGCTTTCAACCTGCTAGGTGAGTAGGTGAGCTGGGGCTAACAGTGGGTGCTCACCCAAGCCAGGCTCAAACTGCTGACCTTTCGATTGGCAGGATTTTTCTGCAGCAAACATATAGATCCCAGAGGACAGGGTCTGTCAGGAGGGCTTGGATTGTGCTTTCATGCATGGCAGAATTGGGTTGGACTAGATGGCTTTTGGGGGTCTATTCTGATTAGGATTGCATGATTCTTTGCTCTGTTGTCCTACCTGTCGTTCTGATACACATCCATGGAGCTGTTCAGCTCTTCCAGTTCTTCCTTCAGCAGCTGCAGATTAGAGTTGATGTAACTGAGCCCCAAGGCGATCGTGTCCTTGACTTTGTGGTTACTGGTGGCCCTGAAAAACTACTAAAGTTTTTGGGTATATAGAATGGGCAAAACACGCTTTATTAAGTAAATATTTCCCTTTTGTAAACATTGAGATATGTCTCCATTTTCTTTCATGGTTTCCATGGGAAGCTACCTGATTTTCCGCCTCTTATTTATTTATTTATTTATTTATTTATTTATTTATTTATTTTATTTCTTATATTTATACCTGTACAGGAGTTGATTATAAATTGTATGATTTTAACTGTATTTGTGTTTAGATTGGCTGCAGTAATGCTGGAGCGGCCTAAGTCAGAGGAGTCCTCCATGTGCGTTGCCATGGAGACCGATGCAGGAGAGAGGGAAGTGGGAGGAGCTTAGAGGGGAGAGTTTGAAAAAACGACAGTTAAAAATCAGTTAGGGTTTAGGTTTAGAGGAGTGAGCAGTCAGGAGTTAGGTTCAGAGGAGTGAGGAGTTAGGAGTTGGGAGAGAAGGAAAGGAAAGGTGGCGGAGTGACTTGTGAAGCAAAGCTTTGAGGCTTTGAGAAGCTGGGTTTGGCTATTGGAAGTTTCTCAGGCTAGTGCAGCCGAATGGTGAAACAGAGCTGGAATTCTTTTAGTCTAAGGAGAGGCTAAAGAATAGTTTACTTAGTATTTGATCTAGGGAGGGTCAACTAAGGGAAACATCCCTGTATGGAAACTTTGTCTGAAACAAGTGCTCTACGTCAGAAAGATACTGTGTTACTTGAAAGAATGAACTGTTAAAGTTACAAGTATTATTCCAAGTGCAACAAGGAAAAGTTACGTCTTGCAACCACATGCTGTGTACTTAATAAAATTGTTAACTTTTTTTTGAAGATTGCCTCAGCTCCGTCTATTCTGGGTACCAAGTGCCATTTCTCACAATATTACAACTTACCTCACGTGGTGGCAGAAACGTAGGGAAAAGTAACCAAATAAATCTATATTCTTCTCTCCAGTCACGCTACAGTATATACAGTGTAATTACTATTAAGTTATTACTTTCTTAATAAAGGAGGAGGTGCAATTGAACAGCCTCCCTTCCAACTTGATGGTAAATTTGGTTCCTAATCGGCAACCTCCATTGCAAATCGGCTAAGTCTTTTTAAAATTGGGAACTGGGGTAAAATCTCCTGAATACTGGTTCCTTTTAAATTGGTGGCAACAATAAATCATCCCTCAGCTTCCCTGCTTCTTTTCAATACCCTGCCCTTCTCACCCCCGGAGGGGGGAGATTCAGGGCAGCCTCACAACAAGCATCATAAGATGCATTACCATCATAAAACAATCAAAAGCATTCAACAAATACAATTAAAAATCATTAAAACAATTAATTAAAAAAATTGATTAAACATGTCAGTTAAAAATCAAATCCGAGCCTGGGCCAATTCATTGTCATAGGTTTCCTAGGTCATAGAATCATAGAATCATAGAATCAAAGAGTTGGAAGAGATCTCATGGGCCATCCAGTCCAACCCCATTCTGCCAAGAAGCAGGAATATTGCATTCAAATCACCCCTGACAGATGGCCATCCAGCCCCTGTTTAAAAGCTTCCAAAGAAGGAGCCTCCACCTTCTTTCCATTTGCTGCTAATCACTAGTCCAGTGCCTGGTTCCATAGCCAAGGCTTAAATTCTTTCTAAAAGACAGGAGGGAGGTGGCCAGTCTGATGTCTCTGGCGAGAGAGTTCCACAGATGGGGGCCACTGCTGAGAAGGCCCTGTCCCTCGTCTCCACCAGTCGCGTTGCCAATGGTGGTTGGACCAAGAGCAGGGCCTCTCCAGATGATCTTATACTTCATGATGGTTCATAACAGGAGGTATATTTGGACAGGTAGTCTGGGCCAGAACCATCTATGGCAGTGGTTCTCTACCTGTGGATCCCCAGATGTTTTGGCCTTCAACTCCCAGAAATCCTAACAGTTGGTAAACTAGCTGGGATTTCTGGGAGTTGTAGGCCAAAACACCTGGGGACCCACAGGTTGAGAACCACTGATTTAGGGCTTTAAAAGTTGAAACCAGCACTTTGAATTGTGCTCGGAAGCTAATCGGCAGCCAGTGGAGCTGTTGTAACAGGGGTTGTGCACTCCCTGTACCCTGTTCCCGTGAGTAACCTGGCTGCCGACCATTGGACTAATTGGAGCTTCTGAACAGTCTTCAGAGGCAACCCCACGTAGAGTGCGTTGCAGTAGTCTATTCGGGATGTAACAAGAGTGTGGACCACCGTGGCCAAATCAGTCTTCCCAAGGTACGAGCGCAGTTGGCGCCAAAGTTTTAATTGGCCACCGCTGAGAACTGGAGTTCCAGGCTCAGCGATGTATCCAGGATCACTCCCAAGCTGTGAACCTGTGTCTTCAGGGAGAGTATAACCCCATTCAACACAGGCTTTAACCCTATGCCCTGTTCGGCCTTTCGACTGACCCATGCTATTCTGATTTCCTTGTAGGGTCCGCTATCAGTTTTCTGTGCCAAGAACAAGTGGCACCCGCCGCGGACGGTGCGCCTGGTGCGAGGGGAGAACGGCTTTGGCTTCACCCTCCGAGGAGACTCTCCGGTCCTCATCGCCGGCGTCATCGCCGGAGGCTGTGCAGCAGTGAGTAGTAAAACTAAGTTTCTTCCATTCTAAGATGCAGTTTCCCCCCTTAGAAACATTTCCCAAAAATGGGGTGCATCTTAAAATCGTGGGTGCTTAAGCACCCACGATTTTAAGGTGCACCCCATTTTTGGGAAATGTTTCTATGGGGGGAAACTGCATCATCTATCTATCTATCTATCTATCTATCTATCTATCTATCTATCTATCTATCTATCTATCTATCTATCTATGTGTTGGTGGTACTGAAATTAACATGCATCTATGGATATTTGATATTACCCATAGGTCTGTAGCTTTTTGGATCATTATGGTCTTTGCCTGGCTTCAAGATGGCAATGACTCTTGCTTTCCTCCAGATTTTGGGGATCTGACAGGATGCAGTGCAGTTGTTCATCAGCTCCAGCAGCCAGCGCCTTGCTTTTGGACCAAAGTTCTTGATTTGTTCCATCCGTAGATCATCCAGGCCAGCTGCTTTGCCATTCTTACATTTGTTGAGGGCCATGTCCAATTCAGTAGATGTAAAAGGTTCATGGAGGTTGTTGTTCTCAATCTCTGGTTGTCTGGCTATTGGTTTCTTTCCTACTTTGGTGGCAAAGTTGGGTTTCCCATTCTTCAAGAGTTGGTGTGCTATCTGATCTGCCTTTATGTTGGCATGGGTATTAGTTTGTGAGGGGTCATTGCTCAGCCATCTTAGCAACCTCCACGCCTTCTGGCTGCTCCTGCCCATGTCGACCTCTGCGATTAGCTTGATCCACTGCTCTTTCTTGGCTTCAGAGATGGAGGACACAATGCTCTGTGCTGCCTGAAGAGTCTGCTCACTAAATGGGTCTTCGTTGTGGAGCCTGTAATCGTTTTCCAACAAGGCAGCTGTTTCAAGAGTAATGCCCCGAAGGTAGTGGGTTCTGTAGCCTCTCGGTATCGAAGCCCGTGAGCAGGTTTTCACTATTCCAATAAAATGCTCGTATTCCTCAGGGATTGGCGCGACCGATGTGATCATGTCATCTAACATGTCTGAGAATTTAGCCCAATCTGCCTTTCTGAAGTTGTATCTTCGTTTAAATCGAACTTCCTGATTTATTGTTGGGAATAGTTGGCATATTATTGTTGGGAATAGTTGGCCTTATTGTTGGGAATAGTTGGCATATTATTGGTCGGTGCTGTGTGTTTGGGATTGGTAGTCCCACTGATTTGGTGCATTGCTGTATGATGCTGTCGCTCACAAATAAGAGGTCTGGGTTATAACCTCGGTGCCATCTCCCGCTGTTGTAGGATGGTGGGAGCTTGTTATCATGGATGAGTGATAGTTTGTGCAGTTCAGACCAGGACAGGACAGCCTCTCCATTTCTGTCCTCTTGGGCATAGCCCCATACATGGCTATGGCTGTTGAAGTCACCAATTACTACCGCCCTTTGGTGCCTGTCAAAGTTCTCGGGGGAGGAGAAGCAGAACTCTTCGTTTGGGGCTTGTACACAGAGGTGATGGTGATGTTATTAAGCTCTACTCTTAGAACCTTGAGATTGTTTTCTTCAGTATTGTGGGCACTGCTGACTTGGAGTGCTATCAAGTTTACAACATTTGTGTGTGAGAGTTTTTTTAATCTGTTTGTTTGTTTTGTTCTGTTCGAAATGTAATACAATGTTCTGGTTGCGGATGACATGATAAATAAATACCCATAGGTTCCATTGTAAGTTCAGGAACGTCTCCCCCGTATCCAGGGATCCCGTTCCATCCTTGCCGTCATAAACACTCTTGTTCTCAGAGGCTCCGATGCACCGAGGGCCCATCAAAGCCACAATATTTCCCCCCCCCCCCTCCGGTGTTGTTTACAGGAAGCCGGCCTGAAAGAAGGGGACTACATCGTCTCCATCGATGGGAAGGACTGCAAGTGGTCCAAACACGCCGAAGTGGTGCAGTTGCTGAAGGTGGCCGGAGAGGAAGGGACGGAGGTGACCGTTGTGACTCTGCAGTACTCCGAAGGACAGGCCACGGTAAGGCTGGCAGCTCGCACCGGGCAAAATAGGGTTCAGGGAGGGCATTAATTAGAGGCGCAAAATGATTGGGGCCATTCTACAAGTAGGAAATACACTTGTAGTGTGCTTAATGGTGTGAACTGGTCCTCTTAATTATGTGAACAGCTTTCCGCACTGATTAGCTGCAGCCAGAAGCACATAGAACTACACGAGTGGAACCTTTTGGTTCTAGATTTTAGATACTTGAGTTGTTTGTTTGTTTATTAGCTGTACCTGCCAGGCGTTGCTGTGGCCAACCTTCCCTCGCTCTTTCTCTCCTTCCTTCCCTCTTTTTCTTTCCCTTCTTCTTTCTTCCTTCTCTGTTTCTTTCCTCCCTTCCTTTGCTCTTTGGTTCCATCCTTCTTTCTCTCTTTCCTTCCTTCCTTCCCTCCCTCTTTTGTTCCTTCTCTCCTTTCTTCCCTCTTTTTCTTTCCCTTCTTCTTTCTTCCTTCTCTGTTTCTTTCCTCCCTTCTTTTGCTCTTTGGTTCCATCCTTCCTTCTCTCTTTCCTTCCTTCCTTCCCTCCCTCTTTTGTTCCTTCTCTCCTTCCTTCCCTCTTTTTCTTTCCCTTCTTCTTTCTTCCTTCTCTGTTTCTTTCCTCCCTTCTTTTGCTCTTTGGTTCCATCCTTCCTTCTCTCCTTCCTTCCCTCCCTCTCTCTTTCTCTCCCCCCTTCCCTCTTTTTCTTTCCCTTCTTCTTCCTTCCTTCTCTGTTTCTTTCCTCCCTTCCTTTGCTCTTTGGTTCCATCCTTCCTTCTCTCTTTCCTTCCTTCCTTCCCTCCCTCTTTTGTTCCTTCTCTCCTCCCTTCCCTCTTTTTCTTTCCCTTCTTTCTTCCTTCTCTGTTTCTTTCCTCCCTTCCTTTGTTCTTTGGTTCCATCCTTCCTTCTCTCTTTCCTTCCTTCTTTCCCTCCCTCTTTTGTTCCTTCTCTCCTAGCTTCCCTCCTTCTCTGTTTCTTTCCTCTCTTCCTTTGCTCTTTGGTTCCATCCTTCCTCCTCTCTTTCCTTCCTTCTTTCCCTCCCTCTTTTGTTCCTTCTCTCCTTCCTTCCCTCCTTCTCGGTTTCTTTCCTCTCTTCCTTTGCTCTTTGGTTCCATCCTTCCTTCTCTCTTTCCTTCCTTCTTTCCCTCCCTCTTTTGTTCCTTCTCTCCTTCCTTCCCTCTTTCTCTCCTTCTTTCACGTTTTTATTTCCTTCTTTCCTTCCTTCTCTACCTTTTTTATTTCCTTCTTTCTCTCTTTCTCTCCCTCCTTCCTTCCCCCTTTCTGTGTATATGTGTTTTATGTGTGTATATATGCATACATGTGTGTATATATTTGTGTTTGTGTATATATGTGGTTTTGCGCATGTGTTGTAATGTATTTTTTTTATTTTGTGGCTTTTTAAGTCCCTTCTGCTGTGTTTTCATTTTTGTGGTTGCCACAAACTAGGTTGGATTGGTTGAGACTCAATGAGATATCCATTGAAAAAGTATAGCCAAATGTGCTGCAGGATCTCCCACAAAAACAAAGTTTGTGCAATTTAATAAACTTTTCCCATGTGTTTATGATAGAACCAATTAGGAAATGACATTGTTAACCCAGGAACAAAACTTGTGTTATATAGTGTTGAACTTGGACAGGAAGCATACAGTAGAACTGCCCTGGAGAACCTGGAGAGAGCCACAAACACTTCCAGACGGAGATATATTTTAGAGTGTGTGTAGGTCCAGATGGAGATATTTTTTTAGAGAGTGTGTAGGTCAACCTTGGTGGGTAAAGGGTTGTCCTCCATGGCATAATGCAAATATATTTTAGAATGTGTGTAGGTCCAGATGGAGATATTTTTAGAGCGTGTGTAGGTCAACTGTGGTGGGTAAAGGGTTGTCCTCCATGGCATAATGCAAATATATTTTAGAGTGTGTGTAGGTCCAGATGGAGATATTTTTAGAGCATGTGTAGGCCAATGTGGTGGATAAAGGGTCGTTCTCCATGTCATAATGCAAATATATTTGAGAGAGTGTGTAGGAGCAGATGGAGATTTTTTTTACAGTGTGTGTAGGTCAACCATGGCAGGTAAAGGGTCGTTCTCCATGGCATAATGCAGATATATTTTAGAGTGTGTGTAGATCCAGATGGAGATATTTTTAGAGCATGTGTAGGTCAACCGTGGTGGATAAAGGGTCGTTTTCCATGGCATAATGCAAGTATATTTTAGAGTGTGTGTAGGTCCAGATGGAGATATTTCTTAGAGTATGTGTAGGTCAACCGTGGTGGATAAAGGGTCGTTCTCCATGGCATAATGCAAATATATTTTAGAGTGTGTGTAGGTCAAGATGGAGATTTTTTTAGAGCGTGTGTAGGTCAACTGTGGTGGATAAAGGGTCATTCTCCATGGCATAATGCAAATAATCCTATTCCATTTCTGTCTCTGGGAAGGGGGACAAGAAGTCCGTGGCGGCCATGTCATCCTGCTCGGGGGTCCTGCTGAAGGGCGACAAGGAGAACAGCCGGAGGAGCCCGATGCAGAGCAAGGGGGCCAGCACTCTCTTGGCCTGGGGCAAGAAGAGCAAGCGAAGCAAGACCAGCACCTACAGCCTCCCCTTCTCTTCCGTGGGGGACAACGACCTGGCGTGCTGAGCCCCCCGGCCATCCCTCGGAACAAGGAAGGCGGTCTTGCGGGAAGCTGCTTTCTGGCAGGCAACGGATATCAAGGAGGCTCTCATTTTACCAACCTTGCTTCTGAAAAGGAATGGGTCTGAAGAGGGTGAAATGAACTCCTGGTGAGCCTCCATGCTCAGGAGAAGCTCATCTCCAAATACTGATGGGAGGCAATAAGAGAGAGCAGCACCCTTGATGCCGAACTTGAAGCCTTTGGAGGCCCATCTTGGTTTCCTAGGCTGGACTAAATTGCCAGATTCAACAGCCTTAAGGGACTGCAGATTTTAGCCTTCAAAGGCTTCCGGGATGCCTAGAGCATTCTTCTTAATCTCGCTGTACTAAAACCAGCTCATCTCTCCGTCTTTACGTTCTGAGCCACCCAACTTGCAGAAGGACCCAGATGGGGTTTAAGTTGAACAGTTGATGGAGGTTTCAAGGCACAATTGTTGGAAACATCCACCTGCAAAACTAAATTGAAATGAGAAAAGGGAGCGGTTTTGCAAGAAGGTTGTTGTAGGTTTTTTCGGGTTGTCTGGCCATATTCTAGAAGCATTCTCTCCTGACGTTTTGCCTGCATCTGTGGCAAGCGTCCTCAGAGGTTGTGAGGTTTTGCAAGACGTTTTGCAAGAGATCGAAGGACGAAACATGCTTTGAAAGGAAGCACAGGTAATGTAGTGGCCAGAGCACAATCCCGTACACACTTACACAGAAGTACATTTCCTCTGGACTCAATGGAGTTGTACCTTGGTCAAAGTCTGAGTAACAAATCAGTAAATCCTTAGTCCCCGTTTTGCTGCTGTCTCTACTCACATATTGGCCTTAGGCAAGCCTTTTGCTTCTCCTATCTGCAATTTGAGCACAGTTTTGCCTTACCTTTCAAGAGTGTTGTCAAGGTTTATGTGCCTGGAACAAGGTTGGCATCTTACATGTGCGCACACCTCCCCTTGGATGTCATTCAATACCCTTTTGTGTGTAAAATGTCTTGGTGTTGTCCCCACTGGGGCTTCTGCATCTGTGGAAACCCATTTTAGGAGGATCCCTGACCCACTGAACCCCAGCAATCCTTTTTGTATGTGGATCCCCAGGTTATAATTCAAGAACAGTTGGGGAGAGGGACGTAATCTTTAATGCGTTTGCATCTCACTGCCTTTTGTTTGATACCGACGGTGTTGATTGGAACCCAGTCTCAAGAATCGAACCTACCGTAGTTCCTTCGACCGATTCCAGCCTTGGGGACAAAACCCACATAGCAATAAAAGGAGTGCCTCTGTCCATACGCGGTCTGTTTATTTTTTTCTCCACTAAATAAAATCAGCTTGCTTCTGAACCTCTTATTTTGGATGGAAGGGAGGAGTGTGCACTCTGGAGGGGAATGTTCTCCTTGGTACCTCCTGATGTGGACAGTTTTGTCCAAGGGGGACATGGTACCAAAACCCAACAAATGATATTTCTCTGATGTTGTGAGTAGTGGAGGTGGTGGCAGAGGCGGGGGTGGTTATATTGTTGGTGGTAGTGGAGGTGGTTGTTTTGATGGTGGTGGTGGAGGTCATGGTGACAGTAGTGGAGGTGTAGATGGTAGTCAAGGAATCATAACGTTGGAAGGGACCACATAAGGCATCTAGTCCAACCCCATGGTGCTATTCAGGAAATGCGCAATCAAAGCCCCTCCAACAGATGGCCATGCAGACTCTTGTTTAAAAGCCTACAGGAAGGAGCTTCCATCAAATGCTGAAGCAGAGAGTTCCACTGCTCAACAGCTCTTCTTACAGCAGTGGTTCTCAACCTGGGGTCCCCAGATGTTTTTGGCCTTCAACTCCCAGAAATCCTAACAGCTGGTAAACTGGCTGGTATTTTTAGGAGTTGTAGGCCAAAACACCTGGGGACCCACAGGTTGAGAACCACTGTCTTACAGTCAGGAAGTTCTTTCTCATGTTCAGGTGGAATTCCCTTCCTGCCATTTTGAACCCATTGCTCCGAGTCCTAGTTTCCAGGGCAGCAGAAAACAAGCCTGTTCCCTCTTCCTTATGACATTCTTTCACGTTTAGACCAAAATCCACTGATTGTGGTAATATGAAAATAACTAAATTAACTCAATGTATATATTACAAATACACATATCAAAAAAACTGCCACATTCACATTAAGTAGAAACAACTGGTTCTTCTCTTGGAGTATATAACAAAGTCTTTGTTTGAGAAAATGTCCTGTTCATTATTACATATGAGTAGACTCCAGTAGTCACATGAATTGACTCCAACCTGCAACCAGTTTCGACTCACAAGAGCCTTCGTCAGGCGGTTGGGTTCAAATTATCAAAAAAAGCTCAACTTTTGAGGTGAGAAATTCACCAACAGTCTTCTGGAGGGGTGGATCCTAAGGGGACATAGATAGTGGAGCTATTGTTTGTTGAGCAATATACCCTGCAAGGAGTTTTATTCTGTGCCCACCAAACCTTCCAGTATTTTCTATTGGTCATGGGAGTTCTGTGTGCCAAGTTTGGCTCAATTTCATCATTGGTGGAATTCAGAATGCTCTTCGATTGTAGGTTAACAATAAATCCCAGAAACGACAACTCCCAAAAGACAAAATCAATCCCTCCCCACCCCACCAGTATTCAAATTCGGGCATATCAGGTATTTGTGCCAAATTTGGAGCAGTGAATGGAAATACATCCTGCATATCGGACAGGTGCCTAATTAGAGTTATGAAGTAGCAACTAAAATAATTTTATGGCTGGGGGGGGGGGGGGGGGGGGGGTCACCGCAACATGAGGAACTGTATTAAGGAGTCACGGCATTAGGAAGGTTGAGAAACACTGATCTAAGTCATTAATCAAGATGTTGAACAATATTGGGCCCAGGGCTGAACCCTCTTTATGGCACTCTTTAAGTCACTTCTTTCTAGGATGAAGAGGAACCATTGGTGGACCACTCTTTGAGTTCAGTTACTTAACCAATTACAGATCCACTCAATAGTAGCACTGCTTAGTAGAGGAGGAAAAGCTAGTGGTGGTGGTGGAGGAGGAGCTGGTAGAGGAGGTGGTTGGTGGTGGTAGTGGAAGATGAGGTGGTAGTGGAGGAGGAGGAGCTGATGGTGGAGGTGGTTGGTGGTGGTAGTGGAAGACGAGATGGTAGTGGTGGAGGAGGAGATGGTGGTGAGGGTGTTGGAGAAGGACAAAGATCCTGGCTGTGAATTCCAGTGTAATAATGCTGTGTGAGGATTGCTTTTTATCAGTCTTCCAGGTAGACTGGTAGAGTGCAGACCTTGCACCCTGGAGAACAAGGCTGGATGGACCAGGACAAAGTCACACCTTTGGTCACCACGATTACGAGAATCAAGCACAAAGCGTCCTCCAGAGGATGTCCATATTCATCTTTTATTCACACAACATGGAGTTGCATCTACATTTCCATGCTTCATAATTACAAGAGTTAGTCAGACAACGTTACACAGTAGGTTGCCCCTTTCGCTTGTCCCGGAGGCCAGCGGCGCTCTGGACGTGCCCCTTCTCCGCCCCGCCTCGCAGAAGTACGAGCCACTGACCGCCCACCTTGCTTGCCGCTTGCCCAGTGCGTGAGGTGATTGTCCAAAGGAAACACCCCGGAATGTGGGGCGGAGGGGTCAGAGTTTTTTGAAGACAGGAGAAGACAAGGAAAACCCAAAATGGTATTGCTCGCCCGCCCTGACCATAACATCGTCTTGTGTTCCATTGATCTGAGTCCAGTAGTTTCACACAACTTCCTGATTTACTTACACACATATAATTCGAAAATAAAAGAAAAATCAATGCGGGAAAGGGGGAAAAGTCCTCTACTGATTGTTTACACCCAAATAGTTTTCAATGCTGGCATTTTTAAGACATTTGGAGTTCTGAGCGAAACCCAAGTTGGGAAAGAGGTGATAAAGTTGATGGCAAAAATAAGATGTATCCTAACCCACAGTTCTTGCCTTCCTGATTTAATCATGACTGGTCCCTTAGCTGAAATACCCCTTTTTTCTGTGATAGAACCTGTCTTATGAATATCTGCCATGACTTCCAGTGACATTCAAAGGTACCATCCTATTCATAGAGGGCTTATTGACAATATAATGAGCCAAGGAGGGAAAACCTGGCCTAGAATTCATGATCACAGTTACAAGTGTGTTACTTGGAGTGAGGCATCTGTAACTGGGTTGCAGTCATGTTCCATACATGCTCAATAGCGCAGGGAATGCGCACGGATCATAACAGTCCTGCCCATCCTTCTGTACCACGCAGCAGCCACCGCAAGTGGTGGGCATCTATTCTCCGTTCAACTGGGACTCAGCAGATTGATGTTTCCATTCCCTCCCTATGAGCCATCTCTAATGCGAGGAGGATTTGTGACACTGATTCTACTTCTGTCGCAACGAATATCACTGGAGAAGGTGGAAAGGTGAGTCTCGAGTGTCCCAATCCTGGTGACACAGAATTGGGGGGGGGGGGGGGGTGTCAGGAGATTGGTATGAAGTAAGAATTACAGATCCATCCCATTATGATAACAGCTGACATCTCACCCGTGGCCTGTATTGTATTTTGCTGAGCTCTGCCATTTATGCTATGCTAAAAATGTTGTAACTGCAATATTGTGCACCTGGGGCCACCATCCAGAAGTTATGGCTACATACAGTACCAGACCTAAAGAACATCCTCTTAAACAAGAAACAGGCTCTGTCTCCATGCTGCGCTGGACAAATAGATCTCAGATAAAGATTACCACGTATACCTTGGGTCAGTGGTCTTCAACCTGTGGGTCCCCAGGTGTTTTGGCCAGCCTGGGGACAGATGGTTCAATCCTTCCATTTCTCCACCAAAGTTACTGTCTTGATGTGAACCATCTCCTGATGGCTCCATCCTTCAATTTCTCCACTAAAGTTATGCATCTGATGTGAACCATCTCCTGATGGTTTCCATCCATCCATTTCTCTACCGATGTTACTGCTTTAATATGAGCCACCACTTGATGGTTCCATCCTTCAATTTCTCCACCAAAGTTACTGTTTTGATGTGAACCATCTCCTGATGGTTTCCATCCTTCCATTTCTCCACTAAAGTTATATATCTGATGTGAACCATCTCCTGATGGTTTCCATCGCTCCATTTCTCCACCGATGTTACTGCTTTAATATGAGCCATCACTTGATGGTTCCATCCTTCCATTTCTCCACCAAAGTTACTGTTT